TGCATTGCCGGGAATACTTTTGATTCACGATGTGCGAAAAAGCACAACAATTGAGTGGGACTATCTCTCCAACGGCTTTGTACATTGTGCGACTGGCGTCCACACTAACCGTGTGAAGTCCTTCTGGAGTAAGGTAAAGCACCGATTGAAGAACGTGTACGGTTCCGTCCGAGAGATGATATGGGATCACTTTTATTAGGTTCAATATCGAATGTGGTTCGATTTTTGGTATGGAAACATTTTTGGGCCACATTAGACAAGCGTGTCCCTTTTGAACCATGTGATTTTCTTCCTGGTTATGTTATTTTGATGTTGTAATAATAATACGTACTTTTACACCGTGTTTATAGGAGCCTTACGAAGTTTAGACATCGCGCTACTTATGAGTAGTCGTAATATTTATGCTAAAAATCATTCAAAGGGGTTACTATCGGGTACCTCCTCCATTATTATTTTTAGGTCTCATTCATCTTTTTCAAAGTTGAAATGCTGTTATCTATTTTATTTTTTAGTGTTATTATAACTGCTATTAATAACGTTTTATTTGATATTGCACATTTATTACACTGCTTGTTTATTGATGTTTATATGTTCACAGTACTAGTGATTAATATTATAAAGATAAATAACTCTTAGGGGCCGGGGGCGTTTTGTATCAATGAGCCCATCATTGTTACTCAAGAATCTTATTCAAGGCCCAAGGACATAAAAAAGTAAAAAATGCTGGTTCCAATATTTTTTGAGTGAGATCCTTGTTCATCTTGTGCCAGCTTCTCTTTATCCGTCCAGTGAAATCAGTTAATTACGGAGGTTACCTAGAGGAGACTGAATTTTGCTTTCATTACTTTCATACAGGTAAATATATTCGATCTCATACACCGAGTAAGAATAATCTGAAATGATTCTCTGGATAGGAAACCAGACAATTAAGTCTCAGAATCATCTAATGCTCGCTGTTGTTTTATGTTTCATTGTTTTGTCTACGATATATGTGCCACGAAAGAAGGAAAAAGATCGTTCAGTCGATAGGTTGGAGCAGAATTTGGTCACCCATACAGCATTCCAAAGTGTAATACGAAGGATGTAAAATGATTTTAACGAAGAAATTATACAAATAAATGACCCTCTCGATATTTATTGAAGGGGATATCAGAAGCGTTCACTATTTTTGGAATATATAGAAAACGCAAAATAGAACATGGAAAGGTGAAAGATGGAACAAACTAACTGTGGGGTTATCACATATATTTACTGAAATATTGATAACGCTTCAACTTTGTTGAAAATCTATTCAGTCCATGAGTTTGGAATTTATGTTATTTCAAAAAGGACAGAAATGAAAGAATATTTCCTGTGAGGATTGAATAGTCACACTAACTGTTTGTTTCATCATGAAACGGTTGGAATCAGCGAACTTAAAATGCTGACACTTATTGGTGGATAAAATTATTTTTATACCTACTTTGTGCGGTACTTAATTCGTCGACAGAAGCTGTCGCATGCTTGTCCCACCGTGTGGTCCAGTGCCAAATGTAATTTGGTCGTACGACATGGTACATAAAAAATACAGCAATCTACTGGGTGTTTATTGACCAATTCCAGTAGCCTGTCACTGATTTTAAGCCTATGCTGTTACGTTTCATTCTAACGTTTTGATGAACTGGAGCAAAATAGAAGATTTGAAGAGTCATATACCCGCAACCAGAAGTTAAGTAAAGACTACCGAAAACAGTAAACATCAGAAAGGCAAAGTTTTAAAATGTTTTCCTTTGAACCGAACAATTTCCACATCTGTTGGTTTAAAGGTGTGCTATCTGTTCGTAAAACTGTGAGTGTCATGGGTAATTAGTCTGGATGTTGACAGTAATATAGGTTTGTTCTCTGGTGTGATACGTTTGTCCTCAGCTCGATAGCTCACTGTGAAGAAAGGTTTCCAACGGACATCAGGCTTTTATGGGGACCAAAAATGGATTTCCACATTTAAATCATCAAATCGCACTCCATAACTGATGACAATTGACTATTTCTGGTATTTGTATTAGGATTAGAATTGTATTCACTGCATTCATGCACATATTTCAATAGTGGTTTTCCCAATTCTAGTTTTTTGATGTGATAAATGAAGCAGGATAAGCAAATTTCAGAGTCAGATGGAAGATCCATGAACACGGAAAGTAAACGCCACCATACTTGAGGGGAGCCTAATCGCAATGAAGTCAAGAAGCAGTAAGTAAATTTCGGAAAACCCATGTATAAAATTATCGGACAAGATTGTAGTATAAACCACATTGATAAAACCGGAAGTTATTTGATAAATAGAACGCGCAAACATTGTGAGGCCAACAAGATATGATACAATTCTTCTTCTTCTTTTCATTTTACTTCCTTTTACTGAATATACAAAGAAGCAATTTTCAGAAAGGCGAAAGCGGCCAATCAAAGAGCTGCCATTATTCACATAATAGGAAAGAATAGGCAGTGGTGATAATTTGGTAACATTACCACCGGGCCACCACCTCCATTTTCTCAATTACCAATATCACTACCATTCTGTTAAAAAAACACAGATGTTCTTATCGAAATCTGCATATGTGAACGTTTCCTGTTAGAAGGGTGCACAACGACAGTGCATCAGCGACCTCACCCGATCCGGGACTACGCTGTTCACTCGGTACCTGCACTTGAAGCAACGTCACGTGATGACCTGACTGTCGAAAACAACTGGCTTTTGCGCAGCAACCGTTGTTATCCAGTGCTTGAAATAAACTTAGGGTATCCGTGAAATTATCCCATATTGATAGAAAATCTTCTCCTCTGTTCAATAATTTGAATACATCAGGATTCAGGACTAGGTATTTGTTAGTCCTAAGGTATCCTCAGCATTCAGAATAAGAAGATGAAACCTGATCTTTGAATTATGGTTCGCTGAAAATCCCAGGTAGCACGTCGTCAGCTAATAGCCCACTAATAGCCGGCTGCAACGAGCTGCATTGCAGAAAACCCCATTTTTAGTTTTCTACCGTAAGGTGGACAATTGCCACGTCTCTAAGTCCCTATCAACCCTATATTTTCACATGGATTTACTATCTTGCCATGGAATTCAGCACCTTTTGCGCACTGTTTAGAACGCATTTAATCACAGAATCAAGACATCAAAATAAGTTATGTTGTGTATTTACCTATCAGAATGAGTCTTTAAAAGACAAAGAGTTTTGACAAATGCGTTTCAAAGATTATTTACAGTTTAATGACAACTGTAGCTGATTTAGATCATACCTAGCTCTTTGTAGCTGATCGATGCGCTATCTTTTGCTACCTGGGATCACGTTTGATACACCAATTTCTTCTGGAATACTACTCAGTGCGAAACCTAGTCTGATTCATTCGTATTACATTTCTGTGTCTGAAAAATGATTTGCCCAGATTATCTGCGGATAATATTCTGTCATTGTATTTCAAGTCAACGCAAGACAAGGAAACTTTGATTGCTTCATTCTACAAAGGCTTTATCCTGGAAGTCAGAAATCAACGAATAGTTTTATCTGTAGTTCGGAAACCGGAGGATACGACACCTGTGCAAACCCTATCACCACTGAGTCGAAGAGTAAAGTGCATGCAGAATGTTCCTGGATATCATACGTTTTCATCATGACCATTTGAAACAAAGCTTGCCCTTAGTGGAAGCGACTGGATGATGTTTTGTATCGACTAGCAAGGTGAAGTTGTCTGGAAAATGCAGTGACTATTTCGAATGAAAAGACAACTTCGAGATTATAGACAAAGGGCGTTGTTGGCGAATATTTACCTAACTTATAACTTGTTTTCTGGATGAAGAATCCAAAGAAACGGACTTGAATAGCGCATCCGAACAAGCTGCGTAAACTAATGTTCTCGGATTTTTCTATTCAAGTTTTTGATGGGAAAATGCAGTTTTCATTTGACTTTTGTCACTTTACATGCACCAAAAGATGATCAAGACCATTACAGACAATATTTTTAAAGTCAGAAAACCTAAAATGGGTTTGCGCAAGGAGTAAAACAAGGAGACAATATTGTATTAGGTCATAGTCATACCAAGTTATGAAGTAATCGGAATCTTGAATGTCTATGATAAATAGGTCAAATGGGGTGAAACGTAGTCGGAGTTTTCAATACTTGTTGAGAAATGGGTGACCGTATAAAAGAATTATCACATAAGCCATGCGGGATCTTTGTTTGGTGAGCACTTGAAGGCTTCAAATACTGTATCTTGGTCAATCAGACCAACCATTCTGTCCAACATGGGACTAGGACACGCATGTTGCTGCATACAAGAAATACTTCCTCAGTCAGACGGTTAATGAATGTGGGACAAAATTGAAGGGTAATTCAGCAATTGATATCAATCAATCAGAAAGAACTTGCCATATCTAGAGAAACAGCGTTGAAACAGAATGTAATGGATAGCAAACGGATTGGGTAGAATAGTGCTTGGGTATTAATGTCATGAAGAAGTTGAATGAAAACCAGATTACACACCACGAAAGAATTCGTGCTCATACGCATCGACGTTCACAAGCGGACGTGCGTACGAACACACACAGACCTACACACATGCAAGCACATCATCAATCATGCAGAGGCAGTTGAAAATATTTTACAATTAGAGAATTTCAGTTTAAAAGGGGAAAATCAATGAAACTGATCGGCGTATGTACAACAGGCAAATTGTTGATTTTGTTTCTGAATTACAGAATGATCAAACAGGACTAGTAAAATTGTATCATACTAAGAAATGCAAGCAAATAAACGGAACTATTTTGATCAAAGTCAGAGCAAAATTGGATTTTTTCTGTTGCTGGATAACGTTTGAGTTAAAAGTTACATAATCCACACTTGCGTGGGTCAGAAACTTACGAACGCATACGTTCAGATGTGATTTTGCGTTCAGTTATCTGTGCAGCTTAGTTTATGTGTAATTTAGGCTGCAAAAACTAACCGCATGGTAATTCTACAAATGATTAGCCCAATTTATCCGGTTCGTCATTTGAACTGGCATCCGTTGAACTTCGATCTGAACTCGTTCCAGAGCTTACATCCAGCTGACTCCTCGTGGTGCTCAAACTGTCAGAAATAGATTGATCTGGATCGGGATCAAGTCCAGGGTAACCAATGCCACTTGGTGTCAGCCGGGAATCCCGTAAGCGTTTCATAGACCCAGTTGCTCCAGCAGTGACTCCTACGGCGGCAGCCGCTGCAGCTGCTTCTAGAGAGTACCAGTAGTTGCAATCGCATGAGTGAGATGACTGGTGATCCGAACTTTCAACTTTCTCTTCACCTCTGCCGACATGATCATGGGAAACGGAACTATCCTGTTCTAATAACGCTGGACTGAACTCTGCTACTTCTTCCACAAGCTCACCAGCAATTGACGTAGATTCAGAATCTTTCGGAAGACAAAACTCAGCCCGCGCTACTTGTCCGGAACTGGACGGCATTTGATCCAAATGCGACAGGTGTTCTCGAGCAGGCGTACTGAAGTCAAACACTTGATGCTCTTTGGCAGCTGATGCTGAATGCAGCTTAAGGGACCGGTGAGTATGTAAACGATTGGCTTCACGGTTGCTCGGGATGGATTCTCCACTTGTTCGGTGCAACGGAATAGAACTTTCAGCTGTTGTGTGATTCGAAGCAACCGCATTATCTCTGGGGTTACCTGGCGTTGTCCAGGTGGGCTGAGAGGAGAGTGGCCAGTTTGGGGATTTCCCTTTCTGATGCATTGCACAATATTGTGCATGTACAAAGTTGGCTGAAGCTGGAGGTAGATTTTCTCTAAAAGAATTAGGCAATGTACTTGATCTCTCGTCTAGAAATTGAGCTTGTTTCAACTGCTGCCTTGGTGTAAGTGAAGCTCCGGTTGGAGGACTTCTCTGCAACCCGACAGGATAACCGGAGGCACTGGGCTTTGTCTGCGCTCCATACATCTGTCGTTTTGGCTGTCCCTGTGTCACCAATGCATCCCACGAATCTCGTGATCTCAAGTCGGATTGTGAACGTTTTGTTAAATCTATGGCATTTTCCAGTTCTCTTTGTGAGCCACTGAGAAATGATTTAACTTGTTCCTTATGTCGTGGACATAATAACGCTGTTGGGTTACTGGCTGCCATATTTTGTGCCATTCGGCTATGTTGCGGGCATAACGCTGACTGTTGTCTTTGAGTTGTTTGCCCATAAGTGAGTCCCGTTCCTGTCCGCGAAACAGATGGCAGAGCGCTCATGGATTTGGTATTTTTCACCCCAGAGATGGAACGAAGCTGCGGAGGTGATCTACCCGGTTGCGTCAATGGAACGCTTTTTACCGTCAAGGCTAAAGAAGTGTCACTTACGGTGCTTATCAAATGTGACTCGTGTGGCCACTTTCCTGATTGTTCACTTGCCCCTCGCGAAAGACGTGGATCAGAACGTCGAAACTGATCACTTTGTCGAGATCCGCATGTATGTGACGGTCCCGCAGATTTAGGGGTGAGTTGTCCCAGTTCTTTATTTTTGAGATAGTTCACTACCGATGAGAACAGTTGCCAATCACCGAATGACATATTCAGTTCTTTCTGCAAGTCACTCAGGGGGCAAATAGAAAGAACCGTACCGGTGACATTCAACTGTTTGATGCGGTCCTCGTAGGGATTTGATGTGTTGGCGAGTTTCCTCCTCTCGTTTATAGGAGCTGGGGGAACGGGATCGTTAATTGGACTGTCTGATTCGTCAGAGCTGATCAAGCCACCCGGTTTGCTGGACTCCCGAGTAGATTTTGATTTAGTCAGTCCTCGATCTGTCCTTTTTTGGCCTCGTTGATTTACCGACAAATCAGAAATATTGCGTATCAGAAGGCAAATGTCCTCCACTGTCATTTGACTGAGTTTCTTAGTCGGCATGCCAAACTACAATTTTGAAAAAAGCAGAAACAGATAAAGAATTAGGTTTATGAAGTTTCTATATTGAATTATGTGTCACAAAACATTGTTAAACTTGAAAATAGAATTGTATTGATGATGCAGTTCTGTGTAAATGTACTTATTGGATTTGCTTTGAGAAGCGTGGTTTATTGATTATTATTCAAAGGAAAAACACAGAAGTGAACAAGCTTGATTTTCGTGAACCATTCACTGGATAGTATGTCGCAGTGTAGATCACAGCGCTTGTTGGAGAAAAAACACATTTAGGAAATGTGATTAAATTTTACTTTTAGAGTAGCAAGCTTGGATTCGACAATTTTATTTGTTAAGAGGTACCAGGCACTCTTGATGTTCTTGGGTGTGGGTTTCACTCCTTAGGAGGTCATTAATTCCCCACGACGTCATGCATTTATACGCGACAGAAATGTATGTGATAACCAACAAACAGCACTGTGTGACTGTTTCATTCTGTTTGAGACTCGTCAGCAATGCGTACTTTTGTGTTCCTGTCAGGACTCGAAACACGAACGTTCGGTTTGGGACTTCAAACCATTACTCCTGAGCTACGCGGTCGACGGTCATCAATTTTTGCGAATGGCTCAATAAATTCCCGAGTACCAAGCCTAGATTAGCTCATTCGTTTGTTAAGAGGCACCAGGCACTCTTGATGTTCTTGGGTTCCAAGAATATTCAACAAAAGTGAAAGGGTGTTTACTGCGGTTACTTGAAATAAAAGTTTATTGTACACGTTTTGTGCACTGTTACTTGTTTAAAACCTACGTCATTGGATGCATAAAGCTTGACTTACCCTGAACCTTGAACTATGCTCTTTCAGGCAGATTTTCTGTTTGCCTACTTTCGCGCGTAATTATAACCAACACCAATTGTTGTTGATCACCGATAACGTAGTTGAGTGACAACAGTTTTGGTTTCCTACTCGGTGGTCCCAGTTTTGGATTCTGGTAAGGGAGCTCACTAAGATGTTGAAGACTCCTTCTAAAGACGAAGTGGTTTTCTACTGATTTTTGTTGTTCATTAACGAATAATTTCTGTCACAAACTGATCCTTTCTCTAGGGCAATAAAATAACGCAAAATATCAATGTACCAACCAGTTGTGGGTAAGTCGTCGTTCACACTTGTTTCCTAGTTTGGTCTAATAATTTAGAAACTAGATGACTAATGGAATTTATCAGTCCCGTGACCTCTCTTGTTTGTTTCAACTTCATTTGGTGGTTTAGGACTTTTGGTAAATAACATAAAGTCGTTGAATATTTCAATTCTACTCAGCAGAGAAAGCTTGCAATTCGATATACACATATGCATTCTAGCAGATGATACATAATTAATCAACTCTGTAAATATTAGTTAATGCAAGTAATTTTGAAAAGCAATTGACTCAGTAAAAAAAGAATGAAAAATAATCAGTTGAACAAAAAATAATAGTTTACATGCCTAATATAGTTAACTATGTGTTTCGTCTGATAAACTGTTTCGTCTGTCGACTTCTGATCAGCGAAGATTGTCAGTGCAGCAAACAAAAGGTTAATAATGACTCCAAATGTAAACATGGGATCTAAGACAGGATATATCAACAAAATCAATTGATTGGCAGAGTGTTTCTCTGAAATTATTTCAAGAGAGTGGAATTGATTGGAGTAAAGAAAATGGTACAATGGTGTCCGTCTGTTTGAGTGAACTAATGTTGGCCACGTGTTTCATTTACTTCCACTACTAGGTTCACATCATCCCATTGGCGAACTGGTGCTCAGCGAGTTAGCGTGCACAGGAAACGCACAGAAATATTAGCGTGCACTAATTTTATGCAACAACAAATGAAGCAACACATTGACGCAAATGAAGGTGTGATATTTTTAACTGGATCATATAGTTCAATAGATTTGTGGACCAGATGCCAAATTTGACTCGGTTGGAAATCAAGATATCTACAAATCTATGCGTTTAGTCCCACGCAGCATTGGGGCATTTTACAGCCCATCAGTAGACACGGTATATATACATATGTATTGTACGAAACAACCTTCTTATCACATAAGGTTTTTCTCGCTGTATGAATGTTTAGATGGAGGTTACCAATCGGTGATTCAGACAGGTGTGAAATGATGAAGAGCTTGCCTCAAATGTCTCATAAATGTCCGATGTCCATGGACCTGGAAGATATTAACACCTCCTGTTAGCCTTATCAATCACTGCCGTGTGAAAAAACTGTACTTACCGAAGCTGTCTTTTTTAAGTGCTAATTTGTGTCGCGTTGTAACTTTTGAGGAGATTAAAAGAAATGGTAAAGTTTCACACTATTTGTATTCACTCTGTTCCATCGAATTGGATTTAGGATACTTGGTATTTCAAGGCGAAAAGCAATTATTCATGTCTTGTTTGACATCAGCATGCAGGTGCTTTGCGTTGTAAGCGTACACAATACTTCCTATTCGTACTCAGCAGACTTTAATGAGAAATAATAAGATTGGACTTCACCGAAACCTTCTGCAAACGGACACTTGATGAAAAACATTGTTTGACTGAACATGTATGAGTGTCTGACGTGAAATTGTCAACCCAGTTTTTAACTGAATGCATTCACGATTTACTTCAAACTCACATCAATGGATCGATAAGTGTTAAGGTACCTCCTAGTCATGTTTTGAAACATATGCTACACATATGCAGACAAATATATGTATGATACCTAGTTCATTCACGTTTGTAACAAATGTGTCACTTAGAAGTCAAGTAAAATGGAAATTAATTAACTCTTTACCTAAACGGTTTTCCACAATCGTACACAAAACTATGGACCAAGGCGACGGCCACCCAGCGGTTATGAGCAAAATGAAAAAGCGCGTCAAAATAACTCCATACTCCTTCATCTGTTTTCTTAGCACTGTGAATTATTGGATTTTTGTCACCCCCGGTGAGCTGGTGTGTCCTAGGTCAACAAATGAAAAATCTGCGCCAACTTCATTATTGTGATGCTTCCGAACACTTCTTGTAACTAAACGTCCAAAATAACGAAATGCTGATGCAATCTTTTGGATATCCTCAGACAACCTGGAACGTGCGTACCTTCATTTTCACACGACAAGCGCTGTCCGAGTGGGTCGGTGTTGGACGTGTGCTCTTTTCCTCAGAGGTTCGCGTTGCTCGTGGTGAAGCCGTTTGTTGTTGTTTGCCGACGGATGCTGCACGAGCGGACATTTTACGTTCCAGTTCTGTCAGCGGTTTAACGAAACACAATGATAGACGATACAAACATATATCAGACGTAAGCCAAAGACATTTATACCGAGTTAAACAAAAGTAAGCAGAGTTTCTCGACCGTTGTTGTACTAATTTCCCGGTGAAATGAACGGAAATTCGTAAAACGGCACCAAAACGGCTCTTTCGAAGTGTTTTCGGTCGTGCACCATTGAAGCAATGTCTGAAACCATTTCCTTGACCTAGATGGTTCTAAGAGTATCGATTCGTGTTGGCGTTGACAATTTAAACTTTTATTATTATTATTATTATGTTTACCAAGATATTTCGGCAAGCGGAAAACGCGGTTTGGAATAGATCTCTGGAACGATAGACAATGCCGCATTAGGGATATATTAAAAGTCGAATGATGATAATCGAATTATTCTATTTCAGCATCACACACCCAGTACTGTGGGAAACCATCCAGTTTATGTTTTTCCTTATCAAACCTACAAGAAACCCCAGGAATAGGGGTCGGTTGTGTCGAAAATAGCTTTATCTTTTATATGCTTACCATTGTCTAAGTCCGTTCAACATACCCCCGTTTTGGACCGTTTTCATAATATCTATCATTACTCACGACTGGAATGTGAAATGCAAAATAAAACATGCACGTTTGTGTTTTCTCGTCCTCTGGATTGGCAAGGCAACCGACCGCGAAAAAAACAGAACATATCCTCAACTGCATGCTCATAGTTCGAGAATTTGGAATAACACTTTGACTTTAGGGGATCTCAGTGTTCTAACCACTTTACCAGATAAACTAATTCATTTCAGGTAATTTAAATGTTTGAACAAACAACGTGATACAATTCGTTGCTAGATAGCATGTTCACAAGTTGAAAGCCAACAGCTCTGCATCACGCAGCTTTTACGTGCTTGTCAGTGTCCCGTAAGTGGTGGTAACAGTTCGGTGACTAGAATGCTGAATCCTATTCTGATACGCTGAATGGTCGGGTTTGCGGCCTGAGCGTACGGGAATCCAATTAACTTTGTGAAATCTCTGACACGGATGCATCCGGGTTTCAGTGTCACGATGAGCAATTTGCATATCGTATGTGCTAAACGGCTTTTCTAAGGTTTCGTATCATGCATAATAAGAACTGTTAAATATAACCCCGGTTTATCTGAATTACAGTCTGACACAGGAGCACGATTACTGCATTTGTTATCGCGTAACTGATTACGAAGAAACATGCTCCAACGGAATGGACATATAAAATGCCAGTTTTTAGGGTTTACTCAAAGTTGGACAGTTTAAACCGTATCTACATATATTAAGCATAGGATTGACCGATGCTTTCAAATATCATTTAACAATCTTGCGGACATGACATTGCAATCTATAATTTAAAATTATATTTATTTAGTTTGACCAAGTTAATACTCATGCACGAAACAATATTCCTTCTACTGCGCTTTTTATTTACGCAGAATCTGATCCGAAACCACTGGGCAGAATCAAGTGATTAAACAGTAGTGAACGGTTACATTAATCTGGTGAATATCTTTCAGGCTACGGATTCCATGATCAATAAAGTCTCAGATCGAAAACTGATTACGGTAGGGATAGTTTCCTGGAATGTTCTGTAAAACACCCACTTATTAGGAAAGTGTTTTCGATGTTTGACAAGGGTTCGGATATATAAATCCCGTCAATGAAAAACATGTAGTCTGTGATTCCAAGTTTACCCTTAAGCTTTGATGGGGAGACCTTGTGAAA